CACCTTCTCTCTTAGCAAACTCCTAGGTCAAGTAGCCACCATTAAAAAATGACATAATTAGAAAGGAACCAGTTCGAGGCTAGACTAATACAGTTTTTTTAAAAGGAGGTAAGAAACATAAATTAAAAAACAACATACAACAGAAAAATTATGTTAGGAAGTAGAAGAAAATTTCTGACAAACACATCTCCATGAACTTGAAGCGTTAAATACAACATGTTATCTTCAAAAGAAGAGCTTCAATAAATATATACAACAGCTCAAAAAGCAATAAGACAATAATAGGACTTGAAAAATATCAGGAATCTGAAAAAAAGCAACAGGAGAAAAACAAAGCCATTATAGAAATGAAAGAAATATCAGAGTAGCAAAAAGTAAAATGGACAGAACTGCAGAGTCATGAAGGATGGGACTTGAGATAAATAAAGCAAAATAAAATGGAAAAAACACGGATCAAAATGTTGCAGAATAAATGATGAGTGACTACTGAAGCAAACGTGATCCATAATAAACATAATTAGTGCCTCCAAAGAAGAGAATAAAATAAATGGAACAAAAATATTAGCAGAAATCAATAAAAATTTTCCTAAAATAAAACCTGCAGTAAGTCATGAGCTATAGCACCCATGAGCTCTTATTGAAAAAATAACTCAACCACTTACTCTAACTAAGCAAGAGATGAATTGACATAGAGAACCCAGGAATGAAGCTGCCATGTTAGGAAAGAAATTATGATTGGAAAACAAGGTGAAAGCGTAAATCTTTGCAGGGTAAAAATAATGTAATTGGAGTAGGAAGGGAAAGTGAGACTCAAAAACTATGTCTATTCTTTGAAAGATAAATGAAGCTATGGATTTTTAGGGCATTGTTTAATGTTACTGTCAGTAGCTCGGCTGAGCTGGGAAAGGGAGCTGAGCCGTCAGGGCTCAGAGTAGGTGATTAAAGCAACAAGGCGAAAATGAAAGAGTGAAGCCTTGAATCACTTACTGTGGTGGTGTGTGCAAGTCTTTAAAAAGCAGAGAAAATGCCGACACCCCCTGTTCCATTTCCCTATGGAACAGCACACGGGTGGAGAGTCAGGTGGGCCAACACAGTTGTGAGGGTTGACTTACTGTTGAGGGAGCCTCTGGCATTGGGGGAAGGGCAAGGCGGGGGAAGGCTAGGAGTGGAAAGTGCTGGGTGCTAGTTAGAGTGGGCCGAAGTATCTTCAAGGTCTCCTCTCCATCCCCAAGCAGGCCTTGGCAGAGACTCCTGAAGAGGACCTCTGCCAAGGGCTCAGATAAAGAGACATAGGAATGAAGGCTTTGCGACTAGGAATGCAGATATGTGAAGATGTGAAGAACAGGGCCTGCCAGGGAGCCTGAGACCTTGACTGCAGTGCTCCTCAGAGACTGCCGTGCACTGGTGTGCCCCAAGCCTGGAGTAGGGAGGACCGCTTCCTCAGTGAGGCCTGCCGTAAGGCTGTGTAATTGCCTGTAGTCGAGCCTGAAAATCGCATGTAAGTTTTTCACAGGAGCAGGACTCCTCACTTATGAAGATAGCTAGTAATAAACTAAAATCTTCAATTAATCTAAGTAGAAAATGAGAAATTAGTGCTATAAACTTCATGTGAGCAGTTTGTTCATCGTTGTGTTTCCACCCTTAGCACAATCCCTGGCATAGAGTAAATAGTCTGAAATATTGGTGGATTAATTTATGAACATTGTTTAATGAGCAGCATACTGTGCCTAAAACAATGGACAAATACCAGGCAAATGGTAACAAAAGATAACAAGAGTTTCAGAATTGATATGAGATAAGATAGGGATAAGATAAGATAGATTTCAAAGCAAAAACTATTTAAGAGTCGTAGAAATTTACTTATTAGGATGATTGGTACATCCTCAAGAAAGATGTAACTGTCATGAGCATTCACGCACAACGTAAATCAGGGCTCATAGGGCAGGAAATGGTAGGAAATATCTACTCAATAAATTTTTACTGAATACCTACATATGCCACAAAATAGAAAAACCATTGTGTTACGAATATAAACTCAGGAATTCTAAGTACAGTCATGTGCCACATAATGACATTTCAGTCAATGACACCACGTATACAACAGCGGTCCCATTAGATTAGTACTGTAGGGCCTAGGTGTGTAGTAGCCTATACCATCTAGGTTTGTGTAAGTGCACTCTATGATGTTTGTAGAAGGGTCAAACACCTGACAACACATTTCTCAGAATGTATCCCTGTCGTCACTCGATGCATAACTGTAAAATATGAACAAATAGATCACAAGCACATTAAAAGAATAATATAGCGTGACCAAAATGAATTCTGTTTTGGAAATACAAATGTAGTTTACTATTAGGAAGTCTATTAATATTATTCAGCATGTTAATAATTGGAAACAATGAAACTATATGTCTGAAAACATTTGACAAAATACAGTGTCTTTCTGATTGTTTTTAATCTCTCTTAATAAAATTAGAACCTATGAATACTACCACAAGATATATATGTTACTCACTGGCTTTGTATGTGCAAGTTTGTGTACGGGTATTTACATTTGTTTAAACACACGTATACATATACATATCTCCCAATTCAGTAACATGCTAAACATAAAATTTTTAAAGCATTCTATAATTAAAATAATGACTAAGACAAAAATGTCCACTATTATTTAATATTGTTGTAGATATTAGCTAATTCATTCACACAAGAGAAATAGTATATAAATATTAAGGAAGATTCAAAAGAATAATTGAATATACCTGGAAAACGCAAAAGCATTAACTAAAAATAGTATAAGGAACAATGAGTGCATTTAATAAGGAGGCTGGTTACAAAAATGTAATCCCAGTAGCTTACTAAACAAATAAAACTTGTTACTTACTTACAAACAAAAACTTGTTAGAAAATATAACTGAAGAAAGTTTCTATTTATAGTAATAACACGAAACTTCTAAACACTGAGAAATAAACCTAACAAGAAATCTTCATGACCCACATGGGAATAAAAGAGACTTGAAAAGTGGAAGTATGTTGTGGTATTGGATAGGAGACTGAATATTTTACAAACTTTAGTTCTCCTTAGATTAACTATAAATTCACTAAAATAGTCAAAAGTTGTTGTTTTCTAATCTACCAAGTTCTTTGTGAAGTTTAGATGACAATTAAGTATAAAAATAGCCAGGAAAGTTTCTGAGAAAAGAAAAATAAAGCAAGTAGGGCGACAAATAAAACTGCTAATCAACGTGCGATAAACAGTGTTACCACAGTGAGTTTATCTAATGTTCTCTGAAAGCAAAGATGTTTTTATTAACTTGTGTTGCCAGGTTATGGAAGAATGGATTCACATTAGCTTTAAAATAGCAAGTTTTTAAAGTTAATTTGTGTATCTCCATAACTACTTTCTTGAATTCCAGTACAGTCATTGACCTAGAATGCCAGGTTAAATAAATTGTGAATAGTTTGAGTGATTATTTTTTGCATGACTGGTCTATCATTTGGATTGTACTATAAAAAAAAATCACTATTTTGGGGGCCGGCCTGGTGGGGCAGCGGTTAAGTGCGCACGTTCAGCTTTGGCGGCCCGGGGTTCACTGGTTTGGATCCCACATATAAAGTAGAGGCAGATGTTAGCTCAGGGCCAGCCTTCCTCAGCAAAAAGAGGAGAATTGGCAGCAGATGTTAGCTCAGGGCTAATCTTCCTCAAAGAAAAAAAAAAATTCACTATTTTCAACAATCGTTTAAAATGTAATTTTTTATGTCTAGTTGTATCGGAGGGATTAACTCTGTTTACTTCCTTTATAGGATGCTCCTGATGTAAATGACTATTGTTTTATTTTTACCCTACTTTTAGGAATTTAGCTGTAATCAATCCACATTCAGTTGTGAAACCAATAAGTTGCTTCTCATCATGGCCCTGTGTTGATGGGCTATTTAACTTGAATATAATGTGCTGTCTCATTGTACTTCCTGCCCTAGGTTTTCTGGCAGACTGTTCTGTGTATGATTTTCAGATTGTTTTCTTTAGAACCCACAGTTCTAGAGGTGCTTTAGGAATTATTCAAAACATTTAATTTTTATTTCATTTTGTGTATTTATCTTAAATGCCTGTGATTTAGAAATGACAGACGTGTGCATTCAAACTTCTAATATAATAGAGGCAACTGCTGTGTTCCCCAGATTAACTCACTCTTTACAGAACTCAAAATAAAGCTTTCCATGCCTTATTCGTGTACTTAAACTTCTTAGAAATGTATCATAATTAGGAAGATTGTGATTCTCGCTTGTCACTTTAAATGTCCAGCTAAGCCTGTACACTCAGTGCTTAATGAGAATTGGCAAGCTCTGGTATATAAAATGAGAGCAAAATAGAACATTTTTCAACTACTTAGTCAAGTAGGGATTATTTTGATTAATATTATCTTCACTGCCAACTGTGTACTGAAGTTCTTTCACAACATACAACTGTAAAACAATCTAATAATTGTGGATGTATGAAAACTGGATCTTTTTCCATTTGGTGGTATATTAAGAGACATAAACATGAAAGAGATGCCAACTGGTCAGTATATCACATTTTCTAAGTAAAATATATTATTGATAGGGGTTAAAAATTTCCTAGACCCTATACTGAAAATCATTAATTGTAAAATAAAGTTTTCCATGTTTGATTCTAGAAAACAGAAGAGGGTTAGACTTGAGGCATCTAAAGGCATGAAGTGTTTCAGATCCAGGAAACCAGTGTTCCAGCTCTGCTGTGGCTGGCTCTGGGGCTTAGGGGAAGTCACTTAATTTTTCATAGCTTCCCTTTACTGCTCCACTTTCTTCACAAGATTGCTTTGGAAAGTCAGTTTAACTGAAGTTGATTTGAAAAATATTGTGTTATAGAAACTGTTATAATTTCTGATATATTCAGTTATAATTAGGTAGCATTTTTGCTTCTTCCCGATTCTATGCATGTTTTTACATTCTTTTCTTTTTTCAAAATGTTCATTCCTTAGGGCATTACGCTAGAAGAGTTTGACAGATTATCTTTCAATATGATTTTAATGAGCCCGCCCTGTCAGCCATTCACAAGGTAGGTATGATAAATATTGCTCTGTGAGGAAGAGGGCTCTCGAAGGGCTCGCTAATCAGACTGTGCCATCGTTTCATAGATACTGCGAGGTTCATCAGCTGCATCTTCATAGTTTTGAAATTTTTTATAAATAATTCTTTTTATCTACTTATGTTTATAATTCATCATTAACCATAAAGGAAACAGCAATTACTGCCAAATGAACAATGTCTTTTGGTCAGTAGTAGATTTACAGAGACTGTCTAGGATCTGTCTTGTACCTGCCTAAGATACAATGTTTATTTCTGACCCCAATTACCTGAAATTATTTAAACTAATGAGCATTCAGGAATATCTAACACTGATTAATCAAAGTAAATTTCCATAATAAATATTCAAGTTTTAGATCATTTAACTGTAAAATTTAAAAGGTAGTGAAGATTGAATACATTTCTCAAAATTCATATGTACATTTAATAATTCTGACCTCTTATGGCTATGTTGCAATTCATTTTTTTATTATATATATTATTTATTTGGCTTTTTCAGGAAATTGTATCTTAGATGAAAATCTTGACTAATCCATCTTCATTTAGATAGTTTTCATAATAATATTTTTATTATTTTAAATAATAATAATAGTAACAATCCTCTAAGCATCTTACATGGGATATGCCATTTAATTTAACAAGCTTATGGGATAGGCATTAGTATTATCATCATTGTACAGGTGAGAAACTGAGGCATAGAAGGGTTCAGTAACTTTCCCATGGCCATACAATTAGAAAATGTCAGAGCCAGGGTTTATCAATTATTTCATGTGTTCCTGTTTAAATATATAATATGAATTTAAGTGGGATATCACTTGTAATAAATATTCTAATTTAAATGAATATTCTCATGCTTAATTTCCACCTAAGTTTTGATTTACTTAAACAGCTCTTAAGGAAATTAATTCCCCATGGGTTTATTGTACACCTATATGCCAGGCATTCCTTTTGATGCTATAGTTCCCATCCATAAGGAACTTGTCGTCTAAGGGGAATGACTGACAAATAATTATAATGTGATATAAGCTGTATGATAAATTAATGCTGAAAGTGCCATGAGAGCACAGAAGAGAAAATGGCTTGCTACATACCAGGAGAGAGGAATTCTTTCAGAGATATCTGAACTGTGTCTCAAAAAGCAAACTGGGAATTTATCAGAGAAGGCAGAGGGCATTCCACGTAAAGATGGCTCCAAGCGTATGAAAGCATGTGACCTGTTTAACTACAATAGGCAGGAGGCACAGAACAGAATGCAGCCCCAGCAGTGTGAAGACGCATGTGTCACTGCAGTGGGCCCTGTATCTTCCCTGCTGCTATTCCCACTGTGTATTAGCCTCACTCCAGCTGCTGAGTAGATTCCTCAGAAATCTTGGATTCTTCTCATTCTGTCCTTTTCTAATCAAATCTATTCTCTAATCTCCCATCTGAGCCTCAGAGCCACCAATGATTTTGACCTTGCTGTCAGCTATGAGGAAACTGACAAGTGATATCAAGTAACTTATTTAGGACCATGACGCTAATAAGTAGTAAAGTCTTAGAACTTGGTCCTCTGCTACTGGCCCAATCCAAGTCTTCCTTTCTGCTTGATTCTTGATTATGTGGAATGCTTCTTATAAGATCTAGTTGCTGGTCCAAATACTACTTGTTTATATGAGCTGTTTTGACCTAGTTAGTGTAACCAAGTTGCAACTCCTGCTTGTAGAATCAAGCCTTCAGCTTAAGTCTTTCCCATTTACATTGGATGAGACTGTCTTAGTTTTACCTACTGCTTTGATCATCTTAGATGGTGGTTAGTCTTCAATGCCATCATCTGTCCGTTGCCACCCTACCCAACTGGCTCATTCACTGGAACTTTTGTTGTTTCATCTGGATCAGAGCAAAAGGTGTCATCAGCCAATTGGGTGTGTGTTTGTGTGTGTGTGTGTGTATCTTTCCTTAACCAAGGGGTTTTAAGAGGGTAATTGATTTTATTCTTCATTGACTTCTTGTTCTTCTTTACCTCATATAAGTCATTTGGAGTATTATTTTGTAGAAATAAATAGTGTGTATTTATTAGATAGGCAAGGCTTTTTTCTTTTTAATTAAATGAATAAATGCATTTTGTTCTCTATAGCAACAAAGATGATCATATTTTTTTAAGGACCAACTAATTTTAATTCTCTGGGTTTTAACTTTTTAAAAGTGGCTTGCTATCTTTATGTAAGGTTCTCGATGAACTCATTTGTTCCTTCTTTATCCCTTTAGAATTGGCCTGCAAGGTGATGTGACTGACCCAAGGACGAATAGCTTCTTATATATTCTAAATATTCTCCCAAGGTGAAAACTTAGATTCCTGTACAAGCTTACCTAAAATTTAAAACTTTGGATCTGGAAGAGTATGATGTTTGTCATTTTATAGAGATTAGCGGGTTATGCATGCTGCTGTCAGATACTGTGCATGTCCTTGATCATATTCTGTCATGACTAACAGAGTAACTGCAAATTTGCCAGTTTCACTGGTTGCCACTACAGTGAGTGAATTACTTCTGCTCACAGTGTTAATGTAAATGATGCTAATGATGGTGGGTGCTGTGCCCATGGCCTGGAAATTTGTGCCCACCCTGGAAGCTGCCATTCTGTGTAAATAGCAGCCCTTTGAGCTGTGCAGTTCAGAGGCTCTGTGTGAACCCTTGTTTTGAAATAAACTTCAATAGAAATGAACATTTCAAATGTTGACTTTATCAGGTGTGCCATGTTTATGGGGGAAAATGAATAAAATATAAATTGTCTCCATCCCTTATAAAATTCTTTTATAAAAAGTGTTTGGAAAATGACTTACCTCATATTTCCTGTGAGTAAGGATTTTCTCTACTTCTTCCTTCTTAGTAATGAGATGTTTGGAATTCCATTTGTTTTTTTCTTTTTTTAGATTGCAGAAATTACCGAAGTATATTCTTTTAGAAAATGTTAAAGGTTTTGAAGTGTCTTCTACAAGGTAGAAAAATGTATTTGTCTTGTGTTCATCCTAGACTTGGTATATTTTATAGCAGGAGCTGTTGTGGAATAAAGTTTTTACAAATAAACATGTACATTCTGACATTATATATGTTATATATTTTATTAATATTTATTTTGACCAATTCATAATGTAAAGAATCACAAAGTTAGGTTCAACTGATTCTCTCGCATTTTGATATGTTTGAATTTTTCCAGAAAGAGCACACATTTTAATGAGAATGATACTTCTCAATTGTAGCTGCTTATACTATTCTATTCTTTATATTATTCTATTTCTTTAGAAGCAGGCATGTTTTCAGTAAGAATTGGCCACGTTTACAGGCATTTTCTGTCCTACAATTAGATGGGAGAAGCAGGCCCCATGTCAGGGCCCTTCTCTCTTACCCGGACAGAAAACTTCTGTCTGAGTCCTTGATTCAGCTGCAGGCTGTAACAGTGCTCCCTAATCTGATTTGCTGCAGATATAGCTCCATTCCCATGCAAGTTTATCACCAGTAGATTCGAGAGTCTGACTCTCACCAGTTTGGATAAATTATCCGGCAGCTTTGTTTATTTATAGTAGAAATTATCTCTTTTTTTGAGAAATGTAATTTCTCAAGTACTGGACTTAGTAAGACCTACGATCATTCTCTTTCTAAACAACTGGAGCAGAGGTACATTTTTCACTTTAAATGAAGTTTTTTGTGCAATATTTTATATAAGAACCCTATTTCCAACTTCAGGTTGAAAGCTTTTCTTTTTTCTTTCCTTTCACTTTTGTCTTTTCAGAGACCTGTTAATACAAACAATAGAAAATTGCGGCTTTCAGTACCAAGAATTTCTATTGTCTCCAACTTCTGTAGGTACCACAATTATAAACTCTTAAATAAATTTTCCCAAAGAGAATTTGTTTCAATAAAAAGAATGGGTTTATTTAGGTTAATATTATAGTTAAATCTTGAATTAGTTCAGACATGGATCTTACTTTCTAAAGAATGTAGTACAGGCATATAAATTCATTTATACGTATTTTGTGAAAAATATTATATAGCTTGACGCTCATAGAGAATTTACTTTCCTTTCCATACAGAAAATAAAGGATAGTGTTTAAAACTATGTGACATCTGGTATCTCCAAACTAGATGTGCTATAGTTTAGTAATGCTTCAAAATAATCCAAAATAGAAAGTAAATGAACATATGATAATTTTCTAATTACTTTTCTTGGTTAAAATGCAAACATTAAATTGCCGTTTAATTAAACATTAAAATGCCGTTAAAATGCAAACATTACTTCTATTTCATGGGTAAGAAATTGGAGTAATTGGTTATGATAAGATATTTGGTAGATCTTTGATATTACTAGTATCACTATCTATTTTTTCTTTGGCCATTGTGTTTCTTAGTCTCTTATCATCTTTAGCTTATTATACAGTTCCTTGCCCTGAAATTAAAGGAAAACTCGTTTTGAAAATTAGATGTACAGCTGTGGACATGGACAGTATATCTCGTCTCTTTAAGTTTATTTCATATTTATTGCCTTTTAACTTTTAAAATTTAGTGAATCCTCCTTTTTTAATAAAATGAGATAATCATAGCTAAGAATAGTTATATTTGAATTTTATTTTTTAAGATGACTATATTGTCAATAATGAAAGTAAAAATGTCTATATAACTTCTTACCCGAGAAATATAAAATGATAGTGGCTCATAGACATATAATTCATCAGGTTCGATCTTTATTTCATTCAAGTAAGGGTATAAAGCAGCAGTTTAAAAAGTTTAAGAATTTGCTACAGAGAAATCTTCCACAAATCAATAAGAGAATTTTTTCCAGCAGAAGCTAAGTGCATACCTGTGTGAGTGTTTTGACTAGGTGCTAACAGTTGATAGAGATCTCTTCAATTTCCTATAGTAACTGACTTCTCTGCTTTCCTCACAGCTGGGCATTCCAAATTCAAGGCTGCGGTATTTCCTTATTGCAAAGCTTCAGTCAGAGCCACTACCTTTTCAAGCCCCTGGTCAGGTACTATCGTTATTGTTATTGTCTTCATGATTATCATTATTTATCTATTGTAAATACATCGCCGTTTGCTAATTTGTTTCAAGCACTACTCTGTGGAGGTTTATCTGTGTCCTATGGTGCCCATCATGTAGACCCTGCCCCAGGTCTGTCTCCGAGGCCCTTTTCATCTCCTGATGCCACTTTTATTGCTTTAAACAAAACAAAAACTTTTCTTTCATCATTAGAAAAAGAAATAAGTTAATAGTAAACAAAATTTACATTAGTGCTGTTACATTCCTTTTCCTCCTATTATTTCCCTTCTGACCATTGACTGTTTTGTAGCTATCATTTTTCCCCCAATAGAAGTTTTTGATTACTTTTGATAAAATTCAATTGTACTATCTTAAAAATGGCTTACGTGTATTTTAACACGTTGTTTGCATGGTCTTTGAAGTCAATGCTATTTAGCCTTAATTGATTAAAATACAGTAATGATTAGTACAAGCTAGATAAAATGCTCAATTGCTTAGATAGGATCTCTGATGATGAAAACAGTTGTATATGCTTCTGTCAAAAACTGGTGTGGCTAACAGAGAGTTTTAGTGGTTCAGCAAAGCGCTCCGTAACTATCACAGGTAAGAGCTCAAAAGGCACATCCTACTAACAGGGGGTCAGTAGTGTCATTTGAAAACCCCACAGTACAATACTAATATGTCTTCCTTTCCGTAGTGGGCCGTTCCAAAAACAACCTGTCAAGTGTATGAGCAAAGACTTCATCGTTAAAAATTCCTGGAACTATTTTTCTTTTGCAAAATAAGGCTTTACACGTGGTTACATGTTTGCAGGAAAAAATTTTTCCATTGGGGCTCAGGAGTAGAAATAACCTTCAAGGTGAAAAGTACTTTTTTTAAATTAGTTTTTCTTTAGATCATGGGTATGTTTCAGTTTTTCTTTTTTAATGAGGGGATATGACAAACTTTGATCCAAAACACATTTTCTGGAAATGTTAATGTTGCTTTCTAAACTTTTTTTCCAAGTATGATGCTGTGTCTATATTCAGCAAACTTCCTATTACATTGTTGAATGTTTTTATTAATAAATAGAGAAAGCAGTAACTCCATGAAATAAATCATCTGTAGCCTGATGACACTATAGCTATATGATGAATAAATTGTATAAATACAAGTAAACGACAATTTCTGTCTTTTTGCTGACAACCCCATAAAGGCTAGAGAGATTTTTTTGCAAAATCTTGACTAGATGTTATTAATTTGTCTTTTATTTTTAATAAAGCTTTATGACAATTTGTGCATTTTTACTTAATGTCAGGTACTGATGGAGTTCCCCAAAATTGAATCTGAACATCCAGAAAAACATGCAATAGATGCAGAAAATCAAATTGAAGGAAAGAAAATTGAACCAAATATTTGGTCTGATAGCAGCAGACCATGTTCTGGAAAAGCAGCCATTCTTTTTAAGCTTGAAACTGCAGAAGAAATTGACCGGAAACATCAACAGGACAGTGATCTCTCTGTGCAAATGCTAAAAGATTTTCTTGAAGATAATGTTGACGTGAATCAGTACTTTTTACCACCAAAGTCACTGTTGCGATATGCTCTTTTGTTAGACATCGTTAAGCCCACTTGCCGAAGGTCCATGTGCTTTACGAAAGGGTAGGTTTTAAAGAGACTCTATTCCTGGTATATCCAAAATAACCAGGTTTTTTATACTACTGTTTCTTTTAGTAGCTAAACAAGGAGGATTTTATAAAACATTTCTGCTAGAATGATTTTTTTGCCCTTAATTGCATGCTTTCGTGTTTCAAAAGAATGCACGAGTGAAAATTCCTTCTGGCGGAACATTATGTGCACAACCCACAAAAGTGCTCATGAAAGACAATGCCATTTGTTTGGTGACCTTCATAGGAGCTTAGTTACCCATGTTGGAAACCTGGTTGCTCTAGATGCTGAATTGCTATAATTTTTTCACACCTTTCTTGTTGTGGCACATCAGACGTCAAAAATTGATATCCACTCTCATGATAAATGTATAAGAAGAAATTAAATTTTAATATCAAGAAATAAAATTGAATCATCTGGTGCATGTTAAAGCACATTTAAATTTTATTTCGCTTTTCAAATAATATATTATCATGGATCAAAATTCAAAAGGTACTAAGATTGTAAGACTCTCTTCCACTTCTGTCTCTTGGACGTCGTTTCCCTCCCTGCATGCAACCAATGATTTCAGTTTGCTGTCTAATTACACGGAGTGTTATGTGTGAAGGTGTGTTTAAATGTACACATATGTTTTTACCCCCTCCTTTTAAGTAAATGGCCTCACACTATATCCATTATTATGTGCCCTTTATTTCACTGCACAATATAAATTGGATATTATTGCATATGAGTACATGAAGAACTTTTCTATTCTCATTGTATAGGTATGTCAGTTTCTTTTATGGTCTACCTTTGGATTATTTCTTGAATGTTAATATAGTTTTCATCAATATTTTGAAGCCTAAAAGGGGAAAATTAGGCCTTTCCAGAAAATTTTGTAAAAGATCACTATTTCTTCTTTGTTAATGCCACTCAACTTTGTTTGATAAGTAGTTGCATGATTTGAAAGTTCGAGCCTTCTCTTTTTGCCTGTTAGCTAGCTGTCTTGCACAAACACTATGTCCCTGATATAAGCATAGCAGACTTATTCTGATTTTATCTTACTCTGCCCTTGCACTTCCAAGAGAATGGATTTATTTCTTTCCATTACCTTAAAAGACTTCACTTAGCTGTTGTCTATTTCCAAGTCCAATAGGTTCTGTTTAGGACTCTCATAAAAAAGACATCAATTTTATAATAAAAAACAACCTTGAGGGCCCAGCCCCATGGCCAAGTGGTTAAGTTCGTGTGCTCCTCTTCAGCGGCCCAGGGTTTTGCTGGTTTGGATCCTTGGCGCAGACATGGCACCTCTCATCAGGCCATGCGGAGGTGGCATCCCACATAGCACAACCAGAGGGACCCACAACTAGAATACACAACTATGTACTGGAAGGCTTTGGGGAGAAGAAGAAGGGAAAAAAAAGAAGATTGGCAACAGATGTTAGCTCAGGTGCCAATCTTTGAAAAAGATTTTTTAAAAATCCTTGAAACTCTTTTGTAATTACAAAGACAGTATAAAAGAAGCCTTACTCTAAAAGTCTATTTTAGTGTAGATAATATAAACACACACACACACACACACATATATATATATGATATATGAGGAAACAATTTGAAAAAATTTTTCCCTGGTATGACTTTCTCTAATTTATATTTTAAATTGATCTGTTAGGAAAAAAGTAATGATAATATGTTAAACAGCCAGCTTGGCAATGATCTAAGGGGATGAAATATTACTAATACCTTGCATTTCTCTAGTGTTTTATACTTTTAATACGATTTTTTATACAATGGTCTCGTATGAGGAAGATTAAAAACACACTGCTTTATAGTGAGAGGCGAGGCATGGTCCATGGACCCTGTTGGTCATGGGGCTGGGGAGTAGGGTCTTGGGTTCATGAAAAGAAATGATGTTCAGGCATGATTAAAAAATAGCAGCAGTTTACTTTCATCTACATCACATTTGGTTTAATGTGGCAAGGGTGCTAATGTTGAATAGTATTTGGATATAAAGTTGTAACAAATGCATACTTTATAGTGATGCACATTAAAAAAATGACAGTTAATACAAAGAAATAATAATACATAATTCATAATGATATTTACACAACTCAAAAATTTATGCCATTGTTAGTGTCTGAGAAATTTAAATAGAATAATCTTATGTTTTTGGCCCAGTGATTTTTCAACTGCAGAGCATATTTATGTGATATTATTCAGAATATTTCAGGAGGATGTCACTATGTAGATTGATTAATCATTCAAGAAATATTTAAGAAACTTATCGTTAACAGATACATTAGATGCATAATATTTGTGTTAATTTTTCAGTTATGGAAGCTACATAGAAGGGACAGGATCTGTGTTACAGACCGCAGAGGATGTGCAGGTACTATGCATCCTTTAGAACTAAAATATTTGAAAATTACTTTAAGTAAAATTCTGTTTAGTACTTAAAATTTGAGAATGTTAAAATAATTTTACATGTTCAACTGGGAATGAATATATATATGATCCATTCATATATATACATATTCATATGTATTCCTATATATAATAATTCTTTACTATAGAATAAATCTTTTCTTTTTCTTGTTGCTAGATATGAGTTTATGCACAAAATTTTTTTTTGTGTGTCTGGAAGATTAGCCCTGAGCTAACTACTGCCAATCCTCCTCTTTTTGCTGAGGAAGACTGGCCCTGAGCTAACATCCATGCCCATCTTCCTCTACTTTATACATGGGACGCCTACCACAGCATGGCTTTTGCCTAGCGGTGCCATGTCCACACCCGGGATCCGAAGTGGCAAACCCAGGCCCCCGAGAAGCAGAACATGTGCACTTAAGTGCTGTGCCACCTGGCTGGCCCCTATATGAAATATTTCTTACTTTCTTTTTTCTTATTCTTACCTTTGTATTTCTTTTTATTCCATAAACAGTAAGTTGAAATACAGCATACAATAGTTAATGTTCTCTAAAATTATGCACAAATATCTTAGTATTGGAGACTTCCTTTGGAGCACATACTATAAAACTGCCTTTTAGGGAATGAAATCTACATTTTGGCAAGGTTCCTTATTGATACTTTAGCTGTCGTTGTTGAATGCAAGCTTGGTATATTACAAGTTTTATAGTTTTGAATAATGTTGAAGTGAAACTACATTATCTTCTCTTATACTGATTTAAGCTCTTACTATAAATAAAATTTGCCCATGGTAAAAATCCCATCAGAGGCAAATGAATATCTGGATTTGAGAAATTATATTTACTAAATATATTTTATCATTTTAGGAAAATATCTTAATTTGATGAAATTGATCATAAACAGTAAACATTTTAATGATCTACTTGTTAACATTGTAAAATTGACTTCATTGGTTATGTTTCTTTTTTGTATCTTTCACTATATTTCTTATGTTATATTGTCATTTATTATTTATATTCTTATGATTTTGAGGGACCAAAAATGACAGATACACTGAAAGTATCCTGATCTGTTCAACATTAAGCTTTTTGTTTTCAAAGTTTACATTGCCATTGATGAGCCAATTATTTGGTTTTTTGCACAGAAACATTTTGCCCTCTGCATTTTGCTAGCTACCATGTGTTGCAACAGACTATATGTCCGTCGTTTTTAAATTGCCCTAATTTAATACTTTTCTTAATAACAATAGATAATTTATAATAAAATAATTTAATAACAATAGATGACCTTATCTTATCTAGTTGCACTCTACTTTATTAATTATCTTGAATTTTTTTTACAGATTGAGTATATCTACAATTCCCTTACCAATTTGTCACAAGAAGAAAAGTTAACAAAACTGTTAATGCTTAAACTTCGATATTTCACTCCTAGAGAAATAGCAAATCTCCTTGGATTTCCTCCAGACTTCGGTATGTAAGATACATACAGACCCCAGCTTTCATATTTTAAAGGTCTCAAAATTCCTTAGGAATTTACATGCATTTTATGAATCAACCCTTGCCCAGACAGATGGATATAAGAAAGCTTCTTCCTTTCTTGACTGCCATTTTTGACATTTTCCTTCCACTTTGCTCTTTCCACTTTCATTCATAACCTGCCTCAGTCCATCCCCTTCAGACGCAGTCTCCATTACTGTAGTAATGGTCCCGAGTGGTTTTCAGGGACAGAGAGGCCAAATCAGCAATCCTCACCTCCCCTACGGAGGGTTGTTAACAGCATCTCTTTCTCCAGCTTATTTTCTTTCTTCCAGAGGTCTTATTCTAATAACCCCACACTAAATCTTGTGAGAGAATACAGCCTAGGATGCTCTTTTTTAATGAAGAAATTAAAAGGCGGTTGAGGAATTTATTTATTTTTTGGTATATGGGGTGTGTTTGTGTTTATTCTCCTCGAAGATAACATTCTTTTCAATCGTGTGCTTTTGTCCTTTCCTATAAGGTGTAAGTGGAGAAAGGAGAAGGTGGAGAGGTGGTCTAGACAGGAGCTTTCCTAAGGGAAAGGAAAGGGTCACTCGGGAGCACAGATCCCAGAACTGGCAAAAGATTAGGGATCTGAAGCAGGGAATCTCAAGAACAAAATGAAGACACAGTTGAGGAGTGAGAACAACAAAATCGTAACTCCTTTGGCAGCCCAGGAAATCCAGGGACTGTTGCTGCGAAGAGATTGGACACGTTGCCTTTGCTTCTTAGAGCAGCCGGCCCCTCCTGACCCGCTTCCTGGGCGCCAGTGCTCCATGTGAGGGAGCCAGCAGTTTCTTAGGCTGGGGTGAGTGTGTTCCCAGCACCTGGCTTGTGGGAAGGGGCAAAGACAGACCTCTCTAACACGCTTCCAAGGCTACACAGGAGGAAATATGTTTTTGATAACTCTGATTGGGAGTTTGAAGGCAGAAAAGCCAAACATTGCTAAGTTCACTGTTGTGGTAATATTAATACAGTACTATCCTTGAAGCACGTAATGGGTTAAATAGCTCATGTTTTAAAATTCTAAGTAATAGATTTGCAGATGAAGTTTTGGAACGCATCCTTTTGTACATTGGGATCAAATTGCCAATATAATTTGACTACCCTCTTGGTAGTTGATTCTCTGAGTGTAGTCATGGCAACCAGGTTTATTTTGTCCTCTCTGCCTTTTTCTTGGTGATCTCATTCAGTCCCAAATATCCCGGGCTGTGTTATTTAAGAAAAACACAGACTTTCCTTGTCTTAGTTTATGTCACAAAGTGAGTGAGAACATCATAAAACAAACAAAGAGCTGAGAATTGGACTCAATTTAATTCCCGGTCTGCTTTCCTGATTATTATTATTTTTTCTTTTTTAGGATGAGAAATCAAAGGTACTTTCCATACTACTAATGAGAGGAAAGAGTTTTTGTGTCTAATAACAACTATTTCCTAAGTTTTATTTGAGTGCTTGTTTTTTCAAGTAATAGCAGTCCCTTTGGTAATACTGAAACTTAGCATGGACCCCAGAGTCAGACTGACTGAGTTTGATTCCTCTCTCTGCCTTAGCCACTCTCTGCTTAGTTTATGCATATGTGAAATGGGGACAATGACAACTTCATAGAGTGGTTGTGACAGTAAAGTGAGTGAACGTAAGTAAAATGTTTACACACTCTCTGACGCATAATATAAAATTGTGTCAGCTTTTATTTTTTAAATGATAGGCATTTATTTGCTTTTCTAGCATTTACTTCATAAGTATTTTTTCTCATTATTTTAAAATTTTAGATGGGTAAAATAGGATTTTTCAAAGCTCTCTGAAAATATATGTCTGAGACATACAAGAAAGGCTTTTTAATTGCTTAACATTCTTCTAAAATGTGTGTCATATTTGTATAGTGTCCTAAGCAGCACTGTGACAGAGCTGTCCCTCATGTGTGCTTCTGGTGTTATTTACTCTGGGTCCCAAACGGGCGTTGTTTGCGCTGCTGGTCCACTGGCGATGATGGCTTTGCGTTGATCCTTCCATCTGTTTCGTCTTGGTTTCCTCTGTGATGAGTGGCATGCATTCTTGAGAGAGCAGGCTTTGGAAGAGAGAGGCACTAACTTACACTTCCTGAGTGAAAGCTGCTGTCTTGACCTCGTTAATTCTGTTTCTTTGTTCTTGAGGATTATTATTTTTAATGTACCTAAGTTTTTAAAAAGTCACTTTTTAACTTAAAACTATATATTTTTTTCATAAGCTAGTTGAGATTTTAGGATCTATATCTATATATAAAATACACACACATATATAAAATTTTTACAGATCTGACTTGTTTGTTTTCAGACCTTTCTTCCCCTCTGATGTAGTCTACAGAAGATCATCCCTGGGGTGTTCTAAACTGTTTATAGATATATTTGTACCTCTGGCTACTTTGAGCTAAATAGTTTTTGAGATGACTATAGTGCTTGCCTAAGACATGTTCTATTTATAATAGCAATTTTATGATGATTCTCAACTGCAAATATAGTTTTATTATGCTAATCACTGTTATGTTATTGCAGTAAGTGTAATATCAAGTGTTGATGAAGAAACTTTATCATGGTCAGCTCTACCTTGTGGTCCTCACAAGTACATGAAATTTTGCTATGTGTAATGCTCTTTAATTGTTTCCTTCATTTTATTATCTAAGTTGCTTTTTCTTTAGTTAATTGCTATGCCAAAGGAAACCGAATGTGGAATTCTAATGTTGTAACTAACATTAGTACACTCTTATGCATGGACAGTCTTTTATGTTGAGGTTTGCAAGACTTTGTTCCAGCAAATGTAGTATCTGTGGGCTATTTTGTTCTGAAACAGCAAATAGAAGCCCAACATGAGAAAGTCAATTTGTGGAAGCAGAATATAAAAAACAACTGTGAGAGACTTGTATCCAGAAAATATAAAGAACTTTTACAATTCAACAATAAAAAGAATAATAATCCAATTTAAAAATGGGCAAAAGATTTGAATAGACGTTTCTCTGAAGAATACAGACAATGTCCAAAGAGCACATGAAGACGTGTTCAGCCTCATGTGTTATTAGTGAATCGCAAATCAAAACCACGGTAAGATACCACTGCACCAAAAGAGAACAAATAACAGTGTTGACAAAGATGTGGAGAAATCAGATGCCTTGTACACTGCTGGTGGGAATATAAAATGGTGCAGCTGCTCTGGAAAACAGTCTGGTAATTCCTCAAATGTTAGACATAGAGTTACTATATGACACAGCAGTTTCTCCACTGGGTATATCTCCAAGAGAATCAAACACATACATCCACCCAAAAACTTATACATAATGTTTGTGAGAGCATTGTTCATAATAACCAACAAGTAGCAACAACCCGCACATCTGTCGATGAATGAATGGGTAAACAAAATGTGCTATATCCATACAAGAGAATATTATTCAGCCGTGAAGACGAATGAAGTATTGGTACATGCTATAACATGAATGAACCTTGAAAACATTATCCTAAGTGGAAGAAGCCAGAAATAAAAGACAGCATACTGAGTGGTTCCATCTATATGAAATGTTCAGAATAGGCAAATCTATAGAAACAAAAAGTAGGTTAGTGTTTGAGGGATAGAGAGGGGAAATGAGGAGTGACTACTAACAGATACCAGCTTGGTTTTTTTTTTTTTATTGAGGCGTAATTGACATACAACATTAGTTTTAGGTGTACAACATAATGATTCCATATTTGTATACATTGTGAAATGATCACTGCAGTAAGTCTGGTTAACATCTGTCACGTTATAATTTTTTTTTCCTTTTTTTCTTGTGATGAGGACTTTTAAGATCTAAACTCTTAGCTACTTTCAAGTATGCACTATAATATTATTAACTATAGTCACCATGCTGTACATTACATCCCATTACTTATTTATTTTATGGCTGGAGGTTTGTACCTTTTGACCTCCCTTCACCCGTTTTGTCTACCCCCACCCATCCTCTGGCAACCACCAATCTGTTCTCAGTGTCTATGAGCTTGGGTTTTTTATTTGTTTGTTTGCTTTGTTTTTTAGATTCCACATATAAGTGAGTTCATATGGTATTTGTCTTCCTCTGTCTGACTTACTTCACTTAGCTTAATGCCCTCAAGGTTCATCCATGTTGTTGCAAATGGCAAGATTTCATTCTTTTTTATGGCCAAATAGTGTTCCATTGTGTGTGTGTGTATGTGTGTATATATATATATATATATATATATATATGTAGATACCATATTTTCTTTATTCACCCATCGATGGACACTTAGGTTGTTTCCATATCTTGGCTATTGTAAATAATACTGCAGTGAACATGGGGATGCGTATATCTTTTCAAATTATTATTTTTATTTTCATCAGATAATTACCCAGAAGTGGAATTGCTGGATTATATGGTAGTTCTATTTTTAATATTTTGAGGAACCTCTATACTGTTTTCCATAAGTGGCTGAATCAGTTTACATTCTCACCAACAGTGCACAAGGGTTCCCTTGTCTCCACATCCTTGCCAACGCTTATTTCTTATCTTTTTGATAATAGCTGTTCTAACAGGCAGGGGGTGATAGCTATCGTGGTTTTGATTGCATTCCCTGATGATTAATGATGTTGAGCATCTTGTCATGTGCCTCTTGGCCATCTCTATGTCTTCTTTGGAAAAATGGCTATTCAGATCCTTTACCCATTTTTTAATCAAACTGTTTGTTTTTTACTATTGAGTTGTATGAGTTCTTTATATGTTTTGTATAATTAACCCTTTATCAGAGATATAAGATTTGCAAATGTTTTCTCCCATTAAGTAGGTTGTCTTTTCATTTTGTTGATGATTTCCTTTGCTGTGCAGAAGCTTTTTAGTTTGATGTAGTCCCACTTGTTGATTTTTGCTTTTGTTGTCTTCTCTTTTGGTGTTATATCCAAAAAATCTTTGCCAAGACTGATGTCAAGGAGCTTACCGCCTATATTTTCTTCTAGGAGTTTTATGGTTTCAGGTCTTACGTTCAAGTTTTTAATCCATTTTGAGTTAATTTTTGTGTCCAGTTTCATTCTTTTGTGTGTGGCTGTCCAGTTTTCCCCGCACCATTTGTTGAGGAGACTATCCTTTCCCCATTGTATATTCTTGGCTCCTTTGTGACAAATTAATTGACCGTATATGTATGGATTTATTTCTGGGCTTTGTTCTGTTCTGTTGATCTATGACTCTTTTTATCCCAATACTATACTGTTTTGATTACTATAGCTTTGTAATATAATTTGAAATCAGGGAGCATGACACCTCCAGCTTTGTTCTTCTTCGTCAAGATTGCTTTCATGATTCAGGATCTTTTTTGGTTCTATATAAATTTTAGGATATGAGTTCTATTTCTGTGAAAAATATCATTGGAATTTTGATAGGTATTGTATTGAATCTGCAGATTACTTTGGATAGTATTGACATTTTAACAATATTGATTCTTCCAATCCATGAGCATGGAATATCTTTCCACTTATTTGTATCTTCTTCAATTTCTTTCATCAGTGTCTTGTAGTTTTTGATTTACAGGTCTTTTACCTCCTTGGTTAAATTTATTCCTAGATATTTTATTCCTTTTGTTGCAATTGTAAATAGGACTATTTTTTTAATTTCTCTTCTTGATAGTTCATTGTTAATGTATAGAAACACAATAGATTTTTGTATATTGATTTTGTATCTTGCAACTTTATTGAATTCATTTGTAAGTTCTAACATTTTTTTGGTGGAATCTTTAGAGTTTTCTATATAATATCATATCACCTGCAAATAGTAATAGTTTTACTTCTTCCTTTCTAATTTGGGTGCCTTTTATTTTTTTCTCTTGCCTAATTGCTCTGGCTAGGACTTCCAATAGTATGTTGAATAGAAGTAGTGAGAGTGGGCATCCTTGTCTTATTCCTGTTCTTATTCACCATTGAATATGATGCTAGCTGTGGGCTGGCTTTCTTTTTTGAGATGATGAAAATGTTCTGGAATTAGTGGAAAAGTGTGCAAAACTCTGTGACTATACTAAAAACCACTGAATTGTTCACTTTAAAAGAGTGAATTTTATAGTATGTGCTATCTCCATAAAGCTATTATTATATAAAACAACTGAGAAATAATGGTAGCCACTGCTTTTCCTAAAGTGCACTAATACACAGATTTCTATTAGTTCTGTGAATGTCACGTGTGTACATGTCTGTGCACTGAGCATAATATAATATGTAATGTGGTATGATAACATATTGTGTAAGCAAAGTAGTGTTATATAATATTTTTGGCACCAAATTCTCATTTGTTAATTGACTTCATGGAGACCTTAGGGACTTATTTGTGTAAATGACCACTGTGCTCTTCTAAAGGATGTGTCCTTTTATCTCTGGAAGTTATTATTACAAATTATTGTGTTATAAATTGTTGTCTCTCTTTTCTAGGATTTCCTGAGAAGATAACAGTGAAACAGCGTTATCGTCTACTTGGAAATAGTCTCAACGTGCATGTAGTAGCTAAACTAATCAAAATCCTATATGAATAGTTTAAAAATAACTCTGGGGGCCAGCCTGGTGGCGCAGCAGTTAAGTTTGCACATTCCGCATCTTGGCGGGCAGCCCAGGGTTCACTGGTTTGAATCCTGGGTGCGGACAAGGCACCACTTGGCAACAGCCATGCTGTGGTAGGCATCCCACACATAAACTAGAGGAAGATGGGCATGGATGTTAGCTCAGGGCCAGTCTTCCTCAGCAAAAAGAGGAGGATTGGCAGTAGTTAGCTCAGGGCTAATCTTCCTCAAAAAAAAAATAAATAAATAAACTCTGAAAGATGCTCACAGTATTCCTTCATATCCATGTAGTAATTCTGAAATTCTATCTTGAACTAATTTTGACAAAATTCAACTAAATTTCTTAATCTGTCTTTAATAAGAAATTTGGATTTATCACAAAAATGCCAATTTGTTTCCTTAAATTTATATTACTGTGTTTTGTAAAGTTAAAATTATTGTTATGATTTAGGAGAATATGTTTTCATATGAAATTATTAAATATATGTGTAAAATATTCTCTTTATAATATTATGGTATAGACAAATTTAGGAACATTAGAATTTTAACGTCTACATGAAGATTTTATAAAAGTGTCATAACTGGCATTTAATGAACCTGATAAACTGTACATTTTTATATGTTAATTAAAGTTGCTTTATGAATCCTATCATTTTACTTTTTTGTTAGGTGATTATTCTTATTTCTGAAAGGATGATTCTAATTCTATCCTGTTTCAAATATTGAAGATTTTACTTCCAGTCCTTTAAATATTCCTTCATTTATCTAAACAAATGCATGTGATATTTTAAACCAAATTATCAACATCATTAGCTTTATATAACAGTCTAAAGAAAATGTCAGAAAAAATAATCCTAAATTCTTGATGACCTCTCCATGAGAAAGCCACAGAAAATATAGGTGCCCACTATTTCATTGTCTAGAATTCTGCCTCCATCATTGTCCCTTCTTCATTTGTACATACTTCCCTTTAGTTTGCTCTCATCAGAGCTTGCTTCTGTCTTCCTTCTGAGCTTCTGGTTCTAAGTTGAATTTGCCATCACATTCTAAGGAATGTAGTATGGTGTTAAGATTTTAAGGAGGGAACTCTGCCCTCTGCCCTCATTCCATATGAGTATTCTGTGAATTAACTTTTATAACTTTTAACTTTCTCTGTCTCTCCCTCTCAGTAGATTTCTTGGAATTAGGGTTTCTAATCAGACTAAGTCTTGCATCATATCCTGTGGTTTTGATTTCAGTGATAAAAGCAAATGACAAATAGAAATGAAAAGAAATAAGACCAGAAATTGTATCACAAAATTTTAATTCATATTTTTATTCTTAAAAAGCAATCATTCCAACGTGGGGAAATTGGAACCCTGTGCATTCCTGGTGGGAATGTAAAATGGGGCAGCCACTATAGAAGATGGATGATGATTCCTTAAAGAAAGAATTATACATGGAATTACCATATGATCCAGCAATTCTACTTCTGGGTATATACCCAAAAGAACTGAAAGTAGGGACTCAAACAAGATATTTGTACATATGAACATTTGTACATTCTCATAGAAAAATTATTCACAATATGCAAAAACTGGAAACAACCAAAATGTCCATCAGTGGATGAATGGATAAAGAAAATATGGTGTATACATACAGTAGAATACTAGTCAGCCATAAAAAGAAAGGAAATTCTGACACATGCTACAAGATGGATGAACCTTGAAGACATTATGCTCAGTGAAATAAGGCAGACACAAAAGGACAAATTTTGTATAATTCCACTCATATGAGGTACGTAAAAGAATCAAGTTCATAGAGACAGAAAGTAGACTAGTGGTTCCCTGGGCTCAGGGGACCTGGGGACTGGGAGGTAGTGTTTAATGGGTATGGAGTTTCTGTTTAGGGTGGTGAAAAGTTCTGGAGATGGGTAATGGGGATGGTTGCACAACAATGTAAATGTACTTAATGCCACTGAATGTATACTTCAAAATTGTTAAAATGGCAAATTTAGTGTTATGTACATTTTACCACAAATTTAAAAAAAAAATCATTCTCCACCACGATTTTTTCAGAAAAACTCATAGATAAATATGGATATAGGGAAGCTGTAGGCCAATACATGTATGTATCAACTATCACTATCTACATTTTGTTATG